GGGCCTATGCAAAGTGGGGTAAGAAATAAAATGTAATATGCAGTTTCGACCTCGCATCGGTCTTATCAACACCCCAAGCGGGAGTCGAACCGTGACAGTGCATAATGGGAGCTTGACATGTTAACCACTCGGCCACATTGCCACGAGTGCCATTGCGTCACAGGGCAGATGTGAATTTCAAGGAAGGCCAGGCCTTTCGCCATATCACATTAGTTGGTGAGATTTTCAATGTTGGGGTTGTTGATAAGACAGATGCGAGATCGAAACTGCAGTCCACCCTGGATGAGAAGAACTTTTGGGAAAGCAAGGCTATGTAAAATTCAATGGAAACGTCAGCTCTACTCATATCATTGTGGGAAAATTCTACTACGTCTCATATTACTGATATACTGGTAGTCTCAAAACTCTACTCACATACGAAAAATAACTAAAATGTAGTTTAAAATAAATCTACTTATCGTGTTGTGTGATTCGCACTTGACTATGGACTTGGTACATTTCCAGACGTTTCGCCGTCATCGTAGTCAGCATCGCCATTGAGTTTAGCCATTCTTAACCCCAAGCTACACTCATCAAATAAACAAGTGAAGTTAGGTAGGTAGAAGTGCCAGAACAGACAAAGGAGGGATTGTACAAGCGTGTGGCAGAAGTTAGTCAAGAGACTGACTTTATCTGTCTTTTTGACGAGGTGTAGCTGGGTGCTGAGAATGGCAAGACTCACTAACGATGCCGACCTAAGGTCCAGGAATGTGCCAATTCTAAGGTCAGTCGCTGGGAATTATGGTAACTGCCATAGCAGAGGACTTCGAAAAAGGTGGGTCCAACTAAGTCACCCTAACAACATGACCAAGTTGCAAAAACAAGGTCAGTCCACTTCTATACCTCGAAAGAAGGCTGCGACCATACCAGCTTGGTCTTCATATCTTCAATTAATAACGGCAAAGTTGCAGGCTCCTTGAGCTTATTCAAAGACGAGTTACGAATTAGAAAACTTTCCTGTGGTGGAAGTGGGTTGACCTCGTTCGCAACTTGGTCTTGTTTTCAGGGAGACCATGTAGAACGCACCTATTCCGAAGTCGTCTGTTATAGTAGTTGTCATGATTCCCAGCATCTGACAGTGGATATGATACATTCTCAAACGTTTCGCCGGCATCGTAATCAGTGAGTTTTGCCATTCGCCGCACCAAGCTACGAACTCGTCAAAGAGACAAGTGAAGCCAATCCC